TTTTTACTAGTTGTATTGCTTTTACTGATTTTTGATTCCTTTAGTTCTGTATTTATTCTGTGCTTAAATATTCTATTGTTTTTGAGTCATGATTTCTCTTTTTGTTTAATTAATTCTTATTTGTTTTTTTTAGTTCTAATTTCTAGGCTCTGATTGGTCTGTAAGTTTCGAGATTAGTATTATATTTGTTTTTTGTTCTTTGTAGATTAATTTTGTATACTAATCTTTATTTATTCTTGAACTTGGTTTGCCAGGATATCAACTACCTGGACCAAATTGTTTTTATCATTAGATTTTAGCCTAGAGACCTAAATTTTGCAGATTTTGTAATCTAGGTCTGGATAAATATCTTTTCTTCTTAAAACTATAAAAAAGGTACTTAATTGTCTGTTACTAATATCTATTACTTTCTATATTTTAGGTCTACTACTTATTTTCAGATTATATAATTTCATAGCTCCATAGGACCTCAAAATTTTAATTGAATTTTTGTTATTATCTTCTTGGATAGGGTCCTACAACTCATCCTATCCTATCTTAACCAGCCTCACTCTATCATCAGGTCTGCATTAAGCTAAATTTTTTTTATTTTTTTATTTTACTATTATTATTATTATTATTATTATTATTTTGTTTGACTTATATTTCTATTTTTAATTTTCTAATCTAATTTTCTATTTATATATAATAGTCCTAGTCTATTAATATATTATTCAAGAGTAGCAGCCATTCAGGATCCTCAGGATCAATTCTAGTATTGTAGAATATTTTTTTGTTAGTGTCTTACCAACATTCATTGTGGTCCAATTGAAAATTATAAGTATAATCTGAGTTAAAAATCTCATAGTTACTGTCTTCAAACTCTAACTCATCGTCAGACTATTTTGGTGAGTTAATTAAATATGGTTTATTAATATCTATAGGGTTACTCATATCACTACTAACTTCAATTCCTTCTATGTCTAGGTATCTGTTTTGATAAGTCCAAGTGGTTTTACTGTAAAATTCGATATTCAATTATTGAATTATTTTATCTTATAGTCTTCTCTGCTCAACATATCTTTCTAGATCTTCTTCGGTCAATTCATCACTCCAACTATATTATCTACAAACTCTGAAGACCATTCTATCCAATTGGGGTCTATCTCAACTTTATTCAGAAGGTAGTATTTAGCAATTGCACAAAATATTTCCACAATTTCCTCATCTTTGCTAGCTTGGGTTTCTAAAAATTCTTGTGTTATATTTTTTTATGTTTTTCACTCATAACTATTCTTGAGAGAGCATCAGCATTATTATTTTTGTGTCTAGCATGGTGTGTTATCATAAAATTATAGAGATGTAATCGTAAAATCTACTGAGTTCTACTTTCTTTGGAGATAGTAATTTGTAACTATTTTAGTGCTATATGATCGGTTACTACCACAAAAGATCTATATTCTAGATAATAGTAGAAATACTCTATGACTCAGATTACCACATAGCATTCTGTTAGTATAATTCTGTTCAGATCTGCTATAAATCAATTAAATCCTTCTGATTCATGTACAACTTTTGATGAAATTTGACTGATTTCTGAAGGAATCTTTACATTTAATATTTGCTTTTTAATTATTATAAGTTGGTCTTTACTAAGTTTATTATTATCTAATAAATATTGTTTTATTATCCACTTGCCGATATCTAAGAATAGACAATATATTGGATCGATCACTATAAATTTAACTGGATCAAAATATTTTAGCTAATATAGTTCTGAACATCTTATTTCTGTTAATTTCACATAATCATCTCATTCTTTTTTATTTTAACAAGATAACTATTCTTTTGCTGCTTTAAAATTTTGTGATATATCTACTAAATTAAATCATTTATCCATATTTTCAAAACTACTATAATGATTTTTTTGGTTTCACAGTTATATCTTGCATGCTTTGGGCAATAATGATATTTTATTGTATAACTTGCATGACTACAAATTTTTCTTGTAGCAGTAATATTATTAGCTGATAATATTAATGCTACATTAATCATGCATTCTTCTTTATATTCAAAAGTTGCTGGTAGTTTTATATCTGAGAATAGTTTAATTAACTTATCAACAATTGGTGCTAGATAATTGTTTATTTGATGCTAACTAGCTTTATTTGGTCTTGGAATAATATGCAAGGTTAAAATATTATTTAGCTTAAATTATGCTTCACATAGTAAATTACATAAAACTCTATAAATTACTTCAGTATTATAAACTGTATAATTGAATAGTTGAAACCAATCGATATTAATAACTAGACTGATATATGTATCTTTTGTAAAAAATAGACTCAGATTATCTAGATTTATAGCAAAGTTTTTCTAGATATTACCTTCATATATATCTGAGAAAATTCTAGCTAAGATATTTCTATTACTTGAATGCTTTAACTTTTTTTTTTTTTTTTAAATATTAATAGTGAGACCATGTTTCTGACTTTATTAAAATTTAATTTAATTCTTCTACAATGAAAAAAATCCTTACAAGAAAAAGAATCTATTTAAATTTTATATCCTAAGATAGCAAGAAAAAAAACTCAGACTAATTTATCTGTGGCCTAAACCAACTAGGATAGCCTTGGCTTACCTAGATTTGTAAATTAGTAATTATATAGTTTAAATTTGTTTGATATTTAATCCATAAAGGATACTATAATCCAATTTTAGCACTAGATATAGTAAGTGGTAGAGGTTGAGAAGACTGATAGGTTGAAGGAGATAAAACTTAACTTAGAAAAATGTGAAATATTTAAAGCCAATATCCAATTTTTGGTTCATATTGTAGAAAAGGATAGCATCAAGCCAGATCTAGAAAAATAACAAAGGCCAAGAAGTTTTTTATGTTAACGAATTTAAGACAACTAAGAGAGTTTATCGAGCTAGCATCATATTACCAACATTTTATATTGAATTTGCAACCATAGCAAAACCACTACATAAATTCTTAGAAAAAAGTATCAGGTATGAATGGAGTGAGCCTCAGAAACAAGCATTTCAAGTATTAAAGACTCATCTAACTACTGCTCCAGTATTGAGATATCCAGATTTTTTAAAAACTTTCTATCTCTATACTAATACTTCTAGAGTCAGACTTGGCATAGTATTAGTGCAAAAAGGTGAAGACAAAAAAAAGCATGCAATTGCTTATGTAAGCAAAAGCCTAACCAGATCTGAACAGAATTATACTAACAGAATGCTATGTGGTAATCTGAGTCATAGAGTATTTCTACTATTATCTAGAA